TAGTCTCTACCCACACCTAGGCTAGCTACACGAATGTGTTTCCGCAGGCTGAGACAACCAGCTGGAAAGTCGGTGCGCCTTCGTAAGTGGGCTCCTGGCTGACGTTCTTGACCGTGGCATCAATTTCATGAATTTCATCACTTGAAGTCGCGCTGAAATGTATGATATTTCATAGTGTTCTTGTGCAGGACCACTTTTCTTCGTTGCTTCCGATAGTTTTCCGACGGAAACCTGCGGCACCACAGATTTACTGGTCCATCAGATCTCCGCGCTTTCAAACTTTGTTAAATTCTTTCAGCTCTCTCCTTTTCTTTGCTTCATGACCTATTTATGCAGCCAATGAGTGTGTTCTGAAGTATATCTTCGCATTTTTTCTAGGCTCTTGAAGATGAAGAGAAAATGACTGATGAAGAACTTGCCATCAAAAATGTTGGGAAGCAGGATCCTAAAAGACATCTTGGAGAGGAGGTTTGTGGCTACTTTCTATACTAAATTAGTTATCTTCTCTCACTAGAAGACCCAGCCGCTGCAATCGATTTCTTGCAGGTTACGAAGATGCTGAGTGATAATATTGTGCAAAATCTCGCTGGAATGATGGACACCACCTCATTCCAATAACTGCCTATTTGTCTATTAACTTATATTTTTTTGTTACATCCCGAATGAAGTAAAGCTGTTTTCCAACGTGTTCAGTTTTTCACTTGTTTATCTATAATATTAGGTTGGCTAGTTTGAAATGTCGTTTTTGACTAACATTTGTTTTTATTATAAAAACAAAAGCAAAGCTCTTGAGTCTTAAATATATTCCCCATCTATATTTATGACTTTTCTACATTTACCACTCGAAATATGGATGTCCTCCTCGAAGAACTCTCCCGGCTGCGACTCGAAAAAGTTGGGAACCCAAATATTGACGTCATCGCGGTTACTCAGTCTCCTTCCCTACTAAGGAAGGAAAGCTACGCTGACCTGAATAAATGGTGAATGGACGGTGCCAGATCTGGGCTAAATGGCGCGGAAGGCAGAACGTCCCAGCTTAACTCCTCGATTTTTCTGCTGCGCTATTTTCGCAACACGCTCCGCTTGGCAAGTGTCGTCTTGAGTTTGCAAAATTTGCGTTTTTGACTTCACTGCTGCACATTCACTCGTAAATGCTATCGTTTGTAGCTGCAGTGTAGCCAAACCCCTTAGGATTTCACATCGTGAATACTTTTGTTAAGTGCCATTTCTAAGTTCTTCATTAGCCAGAATTGCAAGAAAATTCTGATGAATTTTGCCTTTGTGCTTTCTGCCTCCTTTTAGAAAACGCAGCGGTCATCGCAGGCACTGCCGCAGGATAGTGCGCCTCACTGTCGAGTATTTCGCACAGAACACGATAGGAACTCCCTTACCCAATTTCCATTGTTTTGGGTTATGTCACATGCACATGTCCACACGATGTTTCTGACCAAACGTCTTCAAACAAAAATTGTGGATTGAATTCAAACATTCACAGGCGATACAACATCGTAAAGTGCACATTGGACACAAGCAAGTGCACCTGGCTGTGAGAGAGTTGGCTAAATAGCTCAGAACACTATCGATGCAAATAGGAGCGACATTTCAATCTAGACTAACCTAATATTAAATAAAAAGGGATAAGCTTTTGCTGTTGTCGAATCTTTTGGGGATGCGGCGCGCATTGCACTTTATTGTGGATTCGGCAGCGGACTTGAGCGATGGTGGCCTTATACTGAATAGCGGGGCGGCGAGTACAAGCAGTGGTTTGAACATCCAGAAAGTACTCGGCTACCAAACTAACGACCTCGGCGGAGGGAAGGCTTGTTTGCGCGGACGGCTCACGACCGAGGACTTGTCGCGGACCGCTCGCGGTGCGTAAGCCGCCAGTTGCTGCACTACCCACTTCCCCACCTGTTGCATTACACCTACTACTAAAATTACGCCAAAATGAAGGCTTGAACAGCCACAAGACTAGTTGTATGTTCCATATATAAGTTCAGGCTTTTTTAAAACATTTTAGACAGCGCCATTTTTTTCAACTTTCATTCAATTTTTCACTTATCCAACGCGATATTGCGAGCGCGCGGCCGCTACATTCGTTGAATTTTGTTTGTATGACAAGACGGTGAAGTTAACTAGCTCGCGATGCTTAAAGGCAAAAGTCGGGCTCAATAAGGGGTATTATGGCGATTGAAACTGAGTATAGAGATGCGAAGTGGAACGACAGTGGAGAAAAAACTGAGAAAAACCGTAGACAAGGCCGTTAACAAAACCCTCTTTCCCACTAGCAGTGAAGGAGGCTGGCTTGGGGAAGAGGCACGTACAAACAAGTTTTCTGGAGATATCAGTCGTTCTATCGGTTGATACGGCAATCAACCTAGCTGATTTCACACGTTAATCCAGCCATGCGCACCACATCCTAAAGTTGGGGGCGGTCGTAGCGGGGCAGCGGCAGTAGCGCATAGTACATGGCGCTCCGGGTGGGCGGTGGGTTATTACTGCTTGAGTGGGGGGGGTGGTGGGGTGGGAACAATCGTTGGCGAGCGTGTGTTAACATGGTTAGCAGGGTAGTGGGAGTCGGAAAGGGTTGGATTTGGTGCAGAATCCGCTTTGCTGTTATGAAGATAGTGACTTGACATAAATGCGGGAAGTTATACGATTACTATTCTATTCCGCATGATGGCGTGCTGTTTACGGTGAAGCACGCAGTCCATCATGGGTTAGATGTCACCACAATTGTGAATGGAAGTAGGGTGCATGGCTTATTCCAAAAATGATTGATCAACAGTCGAAACTTATGTTCTGTTATTCTATTATTCGCAAAATTGAATTCCATTCACGGCTGTCCACTCCCAACGATTGGCTTTTTCAGTTACTGGTCCATCACCTGTCGGACTCTAGCCATATGAGCAGAGAGGCAGAGTATAGCATTCGCGTTGGTGACGTCAACACCAGTGAGACCCACTCAACGCGAAATTAACGAAGAAAACAAGGGTCACGATTGTCGGGTTTTAAGCTGTTTCCCTTAGTTGCCTCTTCATTGTTGCATCTCTTAGCAGCTTTAGTTCCATTGCCGAGGCCGATCCATTTATTGTGCCATGTGCCTTTGAGTACTACAAGGCGGAAATGAGTCTGCCATATAAGATCGATTAACACATGCATGAAAAATTTATTGAAAGGCACTTATTATACATGTCATTAATACAAAGTGCTGAGCAGAGTGCAAGCTATACGGAGCATATTCAGATATCGGAACTGGTAAAAGGCTGAGAATACTGACTTGAGGTCGAAAACATCACCATCTAGCGCTTACTACAGACAACAGATGTCACAGAGATGTGGGTGTTCACAGATAGCTGTCGCGCGCGGTCGCGTAGCAGTTGATAGTGTGTTGAAAGGGTGCGGGCCATTGGGTCAGGTTGCATTTACCGTCCAACCACCGCGTGCAACTAAACGCGACAAAATTGGGCGCCAAATTTGAAACGACCAACTGTGAAATTTTCGCGCGCGGCTGACTGCGGATTTGTTTCTGACCAAATGACACACACCCGTGGAATTCCTTTCTAGAAAATTGAACTTCGAGTTCTGCAGCGCGACAGCGACGCCATGTACTCGCCTTCTGAAAGCGCTTGTAAGGGTTACAAGACCTGTCAACCAAAGGGTGGGAGTGTAGCTGGGGAAGTATGCGGTTGTGTAGTATAAAGACCAAGCCTTTTGATGGAAATAAAGAAATAAGAGATAGTGTGTATGTATGAGATGTCGCAGACAGCTCTACAAAACGCTGAATCCCTAATTGATTTCCTCGCGGTTGACAGATGTCCTGAGAACACTACGTGAGCGTTTCGGCGATGGGTCTATATGGGGAGACGTGCGTTTCTCCTCTTGGGGTCAAGTGTCAAGTCACCACAGTTGCGCGATCATTGC